GTGAGGGAGAGAGGGAGCACACGCGAAACAGAGCAAGGGGTCAGAATAGAAGGACGAAGAAAGGATGGGTGAGAAGACACGCAAGAGGCGGTTGTGGCGGTGCTAGTTGGCGATGAGGCTAATATGCATGCGCTCGACCCAGCCAAAGTTCACTTAGATCGCATTGCATTGCATTACTCGGCATTACAATGGTGCTCCATCCCATGGAGAGACCGACGAGAAGGTCGAACCAGAAACCGCCAGTTACCTTCTTCCTCTTTCTCCGCCTCCCCGTGTGATTCTCTGACCTTTCATCCTCTTGCTATCGGATCCCCCTTTTGCTTTCCTCTCTAGCCGAAGAGGCAGGCAGAGGCAACACATGCTTAATAATTTACGCGGCACCAGTGGCCTGGAACTTTACCTTGAGTTATATCATACTTGCGCATATATTCTTGTATACGTGGACACACGAGTCTGTTACTTGGGGAACACACATGGCCGTTTACTCGCAGGAAGAAACTGGCCGATACTTGCGATACATGCCGCTATACATGTGCACCCCGGCCGTACCGAGGTAAGAGCATCCTCCGTGCGTGAATTATTGCTGGTAGGGTATTTCTAGGGCATGCGCGTCAGATACCGCTCGGTTATATTTTTTGGGTATTTCCTGGGTAAATGGCAAGGGATAGGATCTGGGGGGATACAAAATGGTTTTTCAAGATCGGCCTGCTGCAATATACATACTACATGCATGTACGCCGTGCGATAGTAACAACAAGAAAGGAGTAGGCTACCCACTGCACGTATACACGAGTAGCATAAATTTTCTATGATTTGCATCGTCCTTTCTCTGTTTCGTTTCACTTCGATACGCATTTACGAAAGGTAATAACGAAAAGGATCGTTGACAATAGAAGATTGCACGTGCGGTTCACATCCTTTTTATAAATCGCGAGAATATTTCTTGTCGAGGAGTTAACGATACGAGCAGCAGCCGCCGACGATAGGGAAAGAGACGCGTGATTAATTCTGCCGAGGGAATAGTTCTCCTTGAAAAATGGTTCGATTGCCGTTCGACCGTCTCGAAACCTCACATTCAGATTTTTTTCCCCCCTCCTATCGTATAAAACACGAACAACCGTACATACTTTCGAGCGTATATATGGAGGAATGGAAACTCGTTTCTATCTCGTTTCTGGGCAGCTCGTTTGTATTTCTTGCTATTCTTCTAATATTATCCTTGGTCGATACTGTGCTTTTCATGGATCACGTTTTGTAATTTCGTCGTTCCACGAAAAATTCGTATACTTTCGGGCAATTTCCTCTAGCCATAAATCACGTCGACGTCGTCTCCCGCGCACCAACCTCTACCGCGAACACTATTTTCACCACCTGCTTTTTTCTTTCCTTAAGAACGAAAGATGACTTAGAAAAGAATACACCACACGTCCGATCGGAGGGAACAGATAACTGATTCGAATTCCAATCTGACGTTAGATATATAAACAACTAAACCAAATTTACAATTAGAGATTAACTAACGTTTGAATCTTGATGTTTTGCATACTAAGAACTAGTAGGTTTGTTTCGCGTACGATGAAATAAATTCTTTTGTCACTTTGTTTGTTGAAACACAAAACGCGATACTTCTCGTCAAAGTACGTAAACCTAACAAAATATTAGCCAGTTAAGTTTCTGTATCGCGGCTTGCCGTAAACGTACAAACAAGGCGATGCTTCGCGTTTTATAAAACGCGGTACCGTAGTCTCTTTAGCTTCGGAACAAAGAGCAGTTTGTCAGTTTTGTAGGAACGTGCAAACGTAATACTTATGCAACACTCTTGCACCGCGGGTGCGCTTTTTCAGAGCACACTAGGGTGTGTTTCTTTCCATCCTTAACCTACATTAACATCGCCATCCGCGTCTTTCCATAGAGAATGGGTCGATAAATGCGAGGCCCAGCACATATGTCGAAACTAAATTTCCTGAACATGTGTACGCCACGTTCTCGTACAATTACAAAGACCTTTCGTTCTGCTTTTTAACAATAAGATAAACGTTGCTTATTGTTATTTAAAACGCTAACGCCGTTGTATCGAATCTGCTGGACGTATTGATAAATCTTAGGAAATAAAAAGAAGTAACTGAGAGGTAACTATAAAACGCCTGGTTCGCCAACACCGTATATACCAAACCTCTCTTAACAAATGGATAATTTTGGAATATTTTTACGACAGCTTTCGAACAAACGATGCAGTAAAATAATGTTTAACACGATAAAAAAATTCGAAATGAGATTAAAAGTATAGTAAGAAACTTTTCATGTGTTTCACTTTTGATTCACGGAACCATGTACGTATGTGCGTAGCAATTACTGTATGAAAAATTTTAGTGCTTGGGAATCGAGGGTTTCTTACGGATGACGTGTGTGCATACACATGGCTGTTTAATTGTGTGCACGTGTGTCGCAGAAGCCGGGAGAATATGATGCGATCGAGTATCGCACAAGGCGATGACTCAGCTCACTAACCCCCCAGCAGAGTGGCTACCCACTAGATCAGATACCCTTCCCGGCAGTACTCGCAACACTGATGCAATGAAACGTATTAATTAATCAGTAACTACGTTACTGATTTCTCTGGTTTTGAAAGTGAATATTTTTATTTCCTTCGCATCTTCTTATTTGTATAACGTAAAATGACAGATTGATAATTATCGCGAAACAAGCCAACTGAAGCAAATCAATTATTTTTAACCAACAAATAGTATATTGTACTTAGTATGTTTTTATTTTAATCATTAACTACAAGTTCATAAAAAGTAGAATTATATTCTCTATAATGCGAGAAATACATTCCGCGTTATACGAAATCAAGAGCGCATAAAGTTAAAACTGAATAAATAGTTTATTTGAACAGAAAATACATAATAATCTTTTTAATCGCGTCATACAACTTTCAGTCATGAAAATATGGTACGTTACGCTGTTGTATTGTATATAGGAAGACGCGTTTAATTTAAAAACTTAAACCACTTCGAAGAGAGATGGTTTTAGGATAGCAACACGAAACACGATAGGCCGTGATGTTGTTTCGTGAATTCGGGTGAATAGGGCAGCAGAGGTTCAGGCTGATCCGTGGAAACAGTCGGTGCAGAGGCTGCTGGCAAGTTGGACAGGCTAATAAGAGGGCGCAAAGACGCCCTCGTGCCCGGCAAAGACTCGATAGGGGAGTGCACCCTTCGTATATTGAGACGGGGTGACGTCGTTGGGGTGGCTCGTAGGAGGGGAAGGGTGCGTGTCATTTCCCGGTGGACGATGGCGTCAGGGCGCGTGGTGTGGATCAAGCTGAGGGTCGTTCAACCACCAGTGTTGTTTAGTGTCTCGTGCGCTGTGTCGTAGTTCTGTTCTCTCGTGATCGTGAACGTGCTGTGCTTGTGATCGTTTAGCTTAAGATATTTCTATTTGCGAACAAAGTAATCTGCTCGACGACGTCAGCTTTAGGATTTCTATTGAAAGTACCGTGTGCCAAAGTTCTGGATCGAGAAACTTGTTTCAGCCGTTTCAGCAACCGAGTCGTAAAAATTTCGGAAGAAGGAAGATCGCAATCGCAAGTGTAACGCTATATATATATATATATATATCAAGGGAATAAATCGAGCACACTTAACGTGCAGTACGAATGCATTAAGTGCTGTTAGCATATAATCGATTAATTAGCAATTACTATGCCGACCGTAGTGTGATAATCGTCTGGTGAAAGTGCAGTATCGTGATCGTCGTTTAAGCTTGTTGTCTGTTAGCTGTTTATGTTACGCGCCGCGTCCTGATTGCAAGTGTGTATTGCTTAGCCAGCGTTTAAGTCATATTTCGCTCTACTTAAACAATTGACGTAAAACGTTTATTATTGTCAAATTCGTCGCACCTTTCGATCGTATCGGACGTTCTCTATTCAGATTATTTGCGGACTATCCGAGCAACTGGTGTTTGTGAACGCGGCCAGAGACATCGTTCACCGCATTTATCGATCGAGCCTGTGCGAATCGATAAACACCATATTGGTACATCGCTACTTCTGTAATTGTAAACGTGTAATTGATAATAATCGACGTGAATGCGCATGGACATCGTTGTCTGCTGATTAGCTGAACGGACATTAAACGCGTGTACATCAACGATATACAGTGTCACAGTCACACGCGACAGTACGCACTTAATTCACCCGGATAGGAGATATTTTTTCAAAGGCCTCTCTTAATGTGTTTCGAAAGCCATTAATCGTTGCGTGCGAGCGGCATCGTTGACTCCCTCTTCCACTGGCTTCCTTTATTTTACCCTCTTTCTCGTTAAGCATTCGCTTTCCCGTGCACGAGCCGCATTAGCCGCTTTCCACCCTCACCACGGTCTTCCTATCTTACTCCTTCTTTCCCTTCTGTCCTGCTACCCTTCCCACGTCACTCTGTTTTCCGTTCCAACGAAGATTACGCTATCGTGTATTTTTTATCGAGCTCCTGATTAAAACCGGACCTCTTGCTCCTCTTCCACCACCATATCCTCCTTCTCCTCCACGTCCTCCTCCCTCCCCCTCTCCTCCTCTTCCTCCTGCTCGTTCTACTCTTATTCGTCCTGCTAGTCCTCCGCCACTGCCTTGCTATTCGTCGAGGCACGACGCATTTTGCTCTGCTTTTGGCAAATAACGCCTCTGTTTCACGCTCTCGCCGCCTCATCCCTAGGATCCCTCTCGACCGGTCGGTTACCCTCAATGACCGGTAGTTAACGAGCACCTTCGTGACGCTGCCCGTCCCCTCCTTCACGTGTCAATTGCCTACTGACTTTGCTCGCGGCCGTGGTTTATGCGCGACACGATAAGCAATCGCGAAACCCTTTTGCTCCAGAAACACGTGCTAGACTCTAGCACGATCGATCGTGACCGACGCGAGACGGTTCCAAGGTCGTCGACATCGGCTGCCCCCGAGTTTTGACACGAGCAGCTTGGACGCGAGAGCGCATCGCGGAAGATAGAAATGTTGATACCGGTCTCGTCCTCGCCATCCTCCAGCAATGGAGATGGCGCCATCAAACTCTTTGTCGGACAAATACCGCGCCATCTCGAAGAGGACGCCTTACGGCCGATGTTTGAGGAATTTGGCAAAATTTACGAGTTCACTGTACTCAAGGACAAGTACACTGGCATGCACAAGGGTGAGTGAGAACAAACGCGCCGTCCTTTTTGGATAATGTTTCCACCTGTCGTCCAAAAATTGTTCGAGTTTGTCTTAACTAGTTTGTGGATCGATACGAACGAAGAAATAGATCAGATTTTCAACATAGTTTTGCATCTCGTAACCTTTAAATACACGCACGTATACGTACGTATAAATTCGACTCGATTGAATTGACAAAATCGATAGAGCCGAAGAATCGGGCAGCGTGCTGCGGCGGAATGTGACTTATTGTCAGCGAAATCAACGAAAAGTCATAAATATAAACACGTAATACTTGCAACAGCTCGCGATCCATTTCATAGGTTTAACTATGATGAGCGGGAGCGAAGTATTCTGGCGCGATATAGGAATCGCAAGCTGCGTCGTCGTCGGTCGACGATGGAGCAGGACAGAGAAAAAGCGTAGGTGTACACGATGTGTATCAGGACGAGCACTCGTCGCATTGTAAGGCCGGACAACGCATTATATGTACGTGGTATCGTCGGCGTGGTAGCTTTCGAAACGCGACTGAGAGATTAATCAGGATTTATTCTTTTGTCTGACGACGCGATGTATGCCGGCAACGCCGACTGCGGACAGAGACTGTGGAGAGCGAGAAAGAGCACGCTGGAGAGTTAGAAGGGAGAGGAGAAGGCGGAACGAGAAGCGAGGCAAGGGGCATAGAAGAGTGGGCTAAGCCGGTGAAACAATAAATTTCGCGGGCATTCACGTCGATCGCCGAGAGGATGAGCCGACGTCGACGATCGACGGCCTTTGTTGGCCGGCTGTAAGCCTCCCTATCCACCCTCGGCAACCTCTCCTTCTCACCCGAGGGTGGGCAATCTCTTCCTCCCTCAAACATCGCACGGTGAACCAGACGCCGGCAAACCTGATACAATGGAACAACGTTCATGAGCGTTTCGTGCCGTTTCCGCAGCGGAAACTTACCCGGAAACGGAGATTTTAACACTAACGTCACCGGTCTCTCCGGTCACTGCTCGCACAGCCTCTCTTTCTCTAGCGGGAGGTATCTAATACCTCCATTCGATCCCGGCCAGCTCGAATTACTATAGGGTGGGTTATACGATATCTTGGTATAATCGAAAGAGGGATGTGGATAGGACGAAAGCTCAGGAGAAGTTTTCAGTTTCCTTGCCTTGCCTCGGTTACGATTTTATAAAAGCATTTGGAAAAATGAGACAATGTACGCGGTACACTGTCTCCATGAATTGTGCATCAGGCTCGAAGACTTTCGGCTCCGACGATTTTATTCGGAATTTCATTTTCGATGATAAATTCGATGATAAGTCCGGCATTATGAAATTAGTTTTCCAGCGAACGCTTAGGGGAGGAGATTTGACTTTTCATCAATAACAGCTACGTTATAAAATGTTCAAACGATGGATCGACACTGACTTTGTCATGTAAGGGTGGTTAATGTTTAATAGATATCTTTCTAAGTATCTTTCAGCGGCTCCCGTTTATTTAATTTGTAGGAAGAATGGCTCTGACCATAGCGAGCAATGCAAGTATCTTACAATAAATATTCGGCCGATGGAGGTCTGCTTAGATGCCCTGTAGAGCAGCTACATATTTTTTATTTTCGTAGGCATGGTTAAAAGTTATAGTTGACGAATGGCTGTTGACGAGTTTTTGCCGGGAAATAGCTCGTTAATCTTTCGAATTATTCTCGCTTCCAACTTTCCACGGTTCGCTCGTTCTCCGCGAATCGGTAATATTTCGTCGCTCTATAATTGCATCAGTAGACACACATACGTATATACCTACATGAAATTGTACCTAAATGCTTATTCGCTGTCATTACGCATATTAAGCTTCAAATGCTTATCAAATACTTAGACAGCTACTCTCTCGCTTTAATTTCTTTTCGTTATTGCGTGTTGCGTTTGTCGGATCATCGCGATTCTCTGCATTTATATCGCAATTGACGTTTATCCAAACATAAAGATATTTGTAGATTGTTACGCTCTTAAAAATATTTTCATTAGCGGGCTCGCTTCCGCCCGCCTCCATTGGAAAAAGGTTTCGCCCACGCGTAAAACGGGCACAAAGCTATTATGAAGCGATTTTCGGCAACCGTACTGCGATGGTACCTGTAATTTGGAGCTATCCAGTAAACAAGGGTGGTATAGTTTCGGCGCGCGTCCACCGAAACAATCGTGGGTCACTTTGCCAACAACGAACGAAATGTATTCGTTTGCATTGACATTCGCCAAGTCAAATAACGGGCACGCGCATGCACGCGTTATATCTGTGCAAGGGAAATCGAAATGACGGAACGGTATCGCGAGAGATTCGTCGGAATGTGAAAGAAAGACGATCGCGACTACTTACAGAAGAGTTGCTGTCACTTGATAACGTCGCTGGTCCGACGATGTCGTCGGGTTCATTAAAATGCACATCTAAAAGCCGTGAAGCTTCATTCAACGCCGCTGCGTTCCTTTTATTTTACATCCAGTACACTGTTTCAATACGTCGCCTGTGAAATTCTCTGTGAAATTTTTACATTCAAAACGTATACGAACAGGGGATGGGAGAGAAACAGTGAGAAAGAAAGGAAGGGAGAAAGATGGGGGAGAGGACGAGCGTAAGTTCGAACGCAGGATACGCAGAGAGAGAGGAGAACATGGCAAGAACTCAAGTTAGGGAAAGGTAGTGCTCAACACAGGCGACAAGGCTGCAACCGACACGGCAGTCTTGTAGTTTCGAAACAGCTCTCCAATTTTAATGAGACCCGTCTATTTCTCCGCGATTCTGTCTCTGTGTTATGGCCTGTCTTCGTGTAATTATATTTTGATTCCTCAAGCTGCGCAGCTTTGGTACCGCGTCCCTCCCTTCTCTCCACTCGCCTTCTCATCCCTTGTCACGGTTTCGAACGAAACTTTTCCTCTATCTTTCCCCCGTCTTTGTCACCGCTACGACGTCCATCTTTCTTCGCGATATTATCTTCTTATCGTGCTTGCTCTCTCTCTCTCTCTCTCTCTTTCTCTCTCGTACCTCCGGGCAAACTGGCAGAAGGTTGTTGTGAATGCTAATACATCCACCTCTTTAACCTTCTTTGTCTCTGCCGCGACTAACATCGACTGACTGGATCATGGTCGTCCACTGGCTACCCCTCCACCCCTCTCGGTCACCATTCTATTCTTCGACAGTCGCCGCGGCGCGGCGGACTTCCTTCCGGTTGCCGGCACTCAACCAATTTGTTTTGCCCTGCAGATTGAGTTACAATTCAGCGTAAACAGAAAACTACCACCTTGGCACTCTGTTCACGGAAACTCGCTTTGCATTCCCTTTATTTCACTGGCCGCTCCATTGGCTGCCACTTCGGCATCCTTACTTAATTACCGGGTAGTTACGATACTTTGGTAACTTTCCGCCATCGGTATTCGAGGACACTTCGTCCCTCGTTCCTTTTTCGAGTCTCCTATCGCAATTCCCGTATCTCGTTGCCAGCAACGTCATAACTTATTAATGAGCGTGTAAAGCCGTAACTTTTCCGAATCGTGGAAAGAAGATAATTAACGATCTTAACGGGGCGTTCGCCGCGCGTACATAGACACGCGGGGTGGTTGTACACGCGTGTGCGATTGAATTTGCATGAACTGGTCGCAACTGGAAGGGGCGGAGTGGGGGCTAGGCGGCGGCATTCGAAACACAATACAATTCAGTGCTACAATTCACAATCAAACGGGTATCGAGATGCAACGAACAGTGGAATCGTGCCGCGGCCGTCGGCATAATTTAAGCGACAAACGTATATCATTTTGTCGTTCAATTAAATGTATTAAAATATAAATCTTGATATCGGCGATGGCCGCAGAATAGAACCAAATGAAATCATTTCCTTTCAATTGCAAGCGTTCGTGCAATAGAGTGGGTTTAAAGAGGACGCGTCCATCGATTCGTACGTACATATATGTATGTCGATGCGAGCGATAACTACGAGTTTAACTCTCGCGAGCGGTTTCCTCGTTTCAGCGTATTTAACAGCAGTGTAGCAAAGGGCTCAGCCTTTTGGGGTGGTTGGCACATGGGGACCATGGCACACGCCATTACAATGGCAACCAACCCCGCTACCAGCCTTCCCGCAATCTCTCTCTCTCTCTCTCTCTCTCTCTCTCTCTCTCTTCTCTCTCGACACGAGGTTCACGAGGGCTGTCTGTCCGTTCATTCCGTTCGTTCGTTCGTTCGTTCGTTCGTTCGTTCGTTCGTTCGTTCGTTCGTTCATTCGTTCGTTCGTTCGCTCGTTCGCTCGCTCGTTCGTTCGTCTCTTCGTCTGCATGCACCGGCGTATGTTATCCCACTTTTTTTGCCACAGGGTCTCTCTACCTCCACTGTTCTCTCTGTCTCTCCTACCCCCCACCGATCGATCCAGTTAGAACGCATGAGCCTTCTGGCCCATTGAAAATTGCTAGGATTCGCTACAATTTGGTGTTCGAATTGACAATAGACGAACCGTTGTTTCTAATGCTGAATACGAAATCCGTTTTACATCCGGCGGTCTGTTGTTCGGCAAATAATACCGCCTGCCGACGTCTTAACGTGCGATTTAATTCCTCTCTGCCAGGTATCAGCTTTGAACGTTTACCTTAAACGAATGGTAAACAGCGTCGAATGGAAATAATCTACCCTATTGAGAGAGGATAGTGTTCGCCGAGGAGAAGGATCCATTAAAATAACGAGCGCGTGTATTGTTTCGGCATAAACAGGGAGTAGCAGTCGACGAGAAAGAAACGACTGGAAATACCTTGGCAGATTGTAGCCAGCGAATGTGTGCGAGCGTGAACACCCTCCTAAGAAGGATTTGTACAATAGAAGGGAGCAAGGCACTGGGGAAATAAGGTAATACCTACGGCTTTGTCTCGATCGGGGGCAAGAGGAGCCGCGTTGCTCAAGGAAGTAAAGGACCTCGGGTTGCACCACCTTATTCCTTTCTCTGCAACGATGCACTTTCTCCTTCTTGCTTGTATTCTTAGTCGCCAGTCGCCAGTCGCCAGTCGCAAGAGAGCGCGCACCATCCATGTGGCTATTGCTCCAGTATCAAACTGAAATTACACTTTTGCACGGCAAGGGATGACGCGAGGAAGAAGTTTCGAACAAAGTCGAAGCTTGCCTGTCGGAAAATTCCGGACCGCCGAACACGAAGAATGGGAATTCCCATCGTGACAGCGACAGGAGGTAGGACCTCGAGATGGGAGGCATAACCTGCGACGCGTTTTCTCTCGTTGTTCCAACGGACGCGAAATCCTCCGCAAAGCTGCACCGTGCGCCACTGAGATTCATTCGTAGAAGAACAAGAGGCAAAACTTTTCTCTAGAAGAAAGTTTCTCTGAACAGAATACATAGTTCTCTTTTTTGTCCTGCCGATTCTATTCGTCTATTTGAGAGTAATTAACTGACCAATTAATCGCGTAACAAATAATCTTACACGTGCCGAAAGTATAAAGTGTTTCCCACTCTGTTTCTAGTAATTTACATAGGACTAATTGCGAAACAAGTGATTTTTGTTAAAATCGTTGATTATTAACAATGGTTACATCGATCAGAAACACAGAGTTACGTACGGTAACGAGATTGGTTTCACAGAAATGAAAATTCGTAAGTGCTCCATGGTTTCAGGTTTACACACGAAGGCGATGCATAGTTGAAGGCACGTGGATAATCCAGACGGCGGAAGTTGCGTGTCTGTGTTCGAGACCTTATGGCGAAAGCTCCTCTTCTGCTTTCTCGTTGGTCCTCTCCTTTTCTATATACTCATTTCCCAGTTTAGAGCATGCTCTCTCCTTCTCCTTCTCCTTTGACTGGTCCAATGTCTTAATCTTTCGTGTGTGAAGAATTGGGCTGGGCCAAATGAAATTTGCATAGTCGTTACCAGCCCGCCTTTACGAGCGGCTTCTCTGCCGATCCGCTTTAGGCTCTTTTGGCTCGACGGAAAGAAGACGACAGGCATCGCGATCCGGTTTGATTGCTAAGGAAAACATTTCCTAGTCGGTATACCGACTTATCGTCTCGAAACGATGGGCGAATATAATTTCATGCAGCATCGAAACCAAAGCGCGCTGTGAGCGAAAGAGGGCAAAGCGATACAGAGAGGCGAAGAGACGTTGGTTTATTCTTCTATTCAGCGCACAGGGCGTTCGACGGAATGTCTTGTCTAGAATTCGATAATACATCGTAAACGGAATATCGAATATTTTTAATAATCGAATCGTTCGGCAACAAATAAAGGGAGAACGCTCGGCGACACTCCAACTCCGTATCTAAATTGTAAATGTCGTTAAACTGTAGCTCTTACTCGTCGTTACAAATGCATCGTTGAAACTGCTAGCTGTAGATGCGGCATAGGCGCTGGTAAATTACAAGGGTTTGCATTCAGGCCAACGTTTGCAGCTATCCAGTTACTTTCAATTGGTTAAAGTATCAAAGGAACGCTGCAGTGTCCCCGATCGATCCTTAATAAGCGTCTCTTTCGGATAAGAATCCAAGGCGGTATATATACGTATGTATGTATGTATGTATAGGAGAAGAGCCTTGAAGTTACGAGGTGTAGGGATGGAGTAGTATAGGAATAACGTGGAACGCATTGGCTAGGTCAGAAGGTTCAGGAGCCACCGGAGTAGATAAGGGCTTGCCAGCCATGTCCGTTAACGATTATGTAAATTGATGGATCTGTTTGTTCTAGTCGTCGCATTGAAATTTCATCGGATGAAAACATCAGTCTCCAGTTTCTCAGAATCGCGCCTCCGATCGCGTCCAACTTTCACCCATAGTTTTCTTTTTTTTTTCTTTCTTCTTTTTTCTAATTACACCCCGTATATCCGTTTCTCGATTTATCGTCACCGATCACAATCGGGTTCGTTTATCCTCGATCGATTTTACCGTAGACAATTTTAATTTGTGCCGTCTTTCGGGCATTTATACTCCTCCTCTTTTTCTAGATCGGCGTAACGTACACGTTTCACGTTCGAACGAGATCGCAAATAAATTTAGTGGCCGCGAAATTGCTTCTTCGACGGATACTCGATAAGAGAGTGGGCTATCATAACGCGCTGTCCGACCATTTTATTGCAATGCTAAAGTAGGTATTGATCCGAATCCAAGAGAATCACGAACTAAGGTACTCGACGACCATCGATCCGTCGTGGAGAAAGAGAAGGAGGAAGTGAAGGAGAAAGAGGAGGAGGGTAATCATTTTCCGTGTCCTCCTGCTTCTCCTCCTCTTCCGTCGGTTATCCGAATTGGGTTCGAGGGGGTCTCGTAGCAAAGTTGGGGACTAGGAGAGGACACAAACACCTCCTTTCGGGTGTTGAGAAGGAGAAGGGATCGGGTAGGCCCCGGGTGGCGCAGAGAGGCGAAGGAGATCGAAGGAAACGGAAGAGAGATGGAAAGAGAAAACGAGGGAAAGTACGAGATGGAGAGACAATTGCTTTCTCTCTCAGTTTGGAATGAGAGGATGCATGAGAGACTGCTCCAGACCGTGGAGAGCGGAGTGAGGGTGCTGCCTTGGGGTTCATTATTCAGGGCTATTGATTTCCATCCACCTCCTACCATCAGCCCACCCAACACCACCAACGACCAAGAGCAAACGAGAAAGAGAGCAAGAACAAGCGAGATGCGACCAGAAAGAGATTGACGGGCGGCCGTTCTCTTTCTTTCTTTCTTTCTTTCTTTCTTTCTTTCTTTCTTTCTTTCTTTCTTCTTTTCCCTTCCCTCGCCTTTCCTTCTCTTTCACCCTCTTTCTGCATCTCCCTATTTGTCCCTTGCTTCTCGCTCTCGTTTGCTCTCCTTGACTGTTCTATTCCTACTGCATCAACCTACATACTAACTGACATGCACTTAAACCAGCTACTTTACCAGTAGGAAGCTTGTAGCATCAATTGCTACCTTTCATGAGTAATTTGACTATTTCGTTTCTCAGACGGTGTTCATCGATGATGTCCTCGATGAACATCTCTCGTGCGTTGTTGGTGTTAACAAGGAAACTACCAATATTCTCGTCTAAAATCGATACGGTTCTTGTTTGTCTTGGTATCTGAATGTAATTCAATTAAAAATTTAACTAGGGAAATAGGCGGATATCCGTTAACGTCTCTTAAGCAATTCATCCGTGGTAAACTCCTGCAGTCTACTATTATCTCTCGCTGTTAATAAAAAAAAAGGGAGAATTGTCGGTTATTTCAAAATTAATAGGATCCACGTTCGTTCTGATATCTATATTTGAAAGGCCCCGTTATTTTCACTGATCTTTCGTCTTGGATTTGTCGATTTCTCTATCGTCTTCCGTAGAGTTAACAGAGTTAGGCCACAACTTTGGTCGAAACTTTCTATCCGTAACGACGGTCCGAAGGGACTTGCGAGTTTTGTCTTTGAAATCCTTCGCTCGCGGTTTCCCGTCCGTGAGAAATCACCTTAAGGATCATGGGTATCATGGGTATCACCATCGGTATCATCACTCGAGGAGAGATACTCGTACGATCTTTATCCAGCATTCGATTTTTGTGGAAACGCAAAGAAAAAAAGGAAAAACAAAATTAAGAGTTAGACTTGATTGATACTAATTGCAAGTCGTTCATATTATATCCGCTGTTTCGATTAGAAAGCAACAGTTTTTGTTGGGAGTATTTAATTGCAAAAAACGCACGAATATTTGACAGAATATTTTGACGATGATTTATAAAACGTGATGAAGAATTTTTCCCTTTCTTCTACTATTTGATCTTAAAATCGTGCGTTTCGTTGACTCGTGCTCTGAAATATATCTTCGCATTTAGTAAGACAGAAATTGATCGACTTCGACTCGTACTGTATTTTAATTATACGAAATACGCCGATGTGATGGTTACGGGAATTTAAAACGAAATTACTCGTATCCTGTTATTTAAATAGCTCACATTTTTAAAGCGAAGAGATACCTTTAAAGGATACTTACAAAAGGGAATTGCTGCAGCGATCATCGCATCAGCGGTATCAACAAATCGCTATTCTATACAAATAATATTCACGTGGAACGTTTTCTCCGGTTCTATCCGTAAGGTTGGACGGATGTGTTGGTGCGGCCGCTTGCCCTCTTTGACCGTGTCCAACGTTGCGTAACGTAAAACTCCATTAGGTGTTAGCTCCTCCGTCGACGGTTAAACCGTTACTCGGTCTCTGGTCGTAGGTGGAAACGAGTGGAGTCGAGTCGGATCGTCGTCGGTATACCGGCGCGCGGCGCGGCATAGAGAAAGATGTATACATATATCGCTGGAGCGGTGATGTATCTATAGAGATTGCAGCGCCGCGGGCGCCGGCGCGAAACGCTCGCTCGCGAGACCACCTCCGCGTGGTAGGCTCATGACGTCAGCTATCCTCAGTGTGCGGAGAGCGACCGCAGTGTACACCATCTCCACGTTTTGGCAAAGAAGGCAGCAGCAGCATCGTTGCTGAGTGAACGAGTTTTCTTACGTCGTACTACCGATCAGCTGGACGAGCGCAGTGTCGTTTGTCACACACGCACCTCTCTCCTGCCTTCTCGTTCGTCGGGTTGTTCCTTGCCGGGATACAGACTGTGTCTCGATCAAACGCGTTGAACACGAGAACTCGAGCAGCGTTACGATCCGAAACGAAACGAAACGAAACGAAACGAAACGAAACGAAACGAAACGAAACGAAAGCGGGAAACGGTCGAGTTTTTTCTTCGCGCGGCTGAGAAACCAGGCTGTGGCGTGACGTTACCTTGATCGACAAGGTGACGAATCTTTCTTGATGAGTACGACGACGTCGACAAGGAGCACGGTCGGTAGCCACGCGGTTGACGCTCTCACCGCCGGTACCAGCATCTCCGAAGGGGCTGACACCTAGCACGAGGAGCGTCTGCTGCGGAGCTAGCGGAGAAGGAACGATCCCGGAGGGACCATCCTCCCTTCTGTCGTGATATAGTGCTGTTATTGTTGTTGTTATTGTTATTGATACCCGATGATACACATGGCCCGGTGTCGCGAGTACTGATTTCACGCGCTCTTGCTTTCATTAACGAATCAAACGAAGAGCCAGTTTTACTTAGTCGTCCTTCCGGTTTTATCGTCCTGTCGTGTTTTACGATCCAAGTCGGAAGGAACGTGCGTGTCGGACGGCGCTTCGACCCTCGTTCGTGATCGGCCAAGCAATTTCACGATTTTATGGATTTCATTTGGCCGGGCTGATCGTCTACGCGAGATCGGCGACACGTGGATTCGAATTCAATCGTTCCTAGCTCACGTGGTCGTCGTCGTCGTCGGACCGACTGCCGGCGACGCTCTGATAGTGGCGCTTTTGCGATACTCACGGATGTTCCTCACGTTGCGAAACGAGTTGCTCGTGATCAGTTTGAAAGTTGCCGGTTACCTGTGTGTTTGTTGAATTTTTATTGATGTTCCATACCGACGTTGTAACGTCGTGCGTGATCGGTGAGTGGCCGGCCCAGTGACAAAAGGGAGAAGAAAGAAACGAGACACTCTCTGTCGAACGATTCTTCCGTCCGACTGTCGAGGATCGAAACGCGTGTGTGTCACTTTCATGTCGCGAATAGAAGGAGAGGGATGACGGTGCATCGTCGTTGTACTGACACTGTCGAAGAGGACGAAGAGGACTTGTGAATTGCGTAAACGACGATCATCAGTGCTAGAGCGAGACACTAGTACCGCGTCGTTGTTTACGAGATTCTTCGTAGGATTTTTCGGATCCGCAAGCACGCGGAATCAAGCAGGCAGCGTGGAGCGCTCGGCGATCGTGTGGCCGCGTGCCGCGGACCTCTACCTTTATCAACCAGGTACATCAATTTTCTTTTCGATGACAGATCTTTCTATTGGATGATACATTCCTCTTTGTGAGCGATGATTCATTGTTCGGCAGGAAGTTTGCAACTGAATCCTCCAAGAACTATGCCAGCGAGTATGATAAGCACATTTTCTCGCGGTAGACACCGATGTCATCGCTTGATAGAGGAGTTTTGAGGAGCATAATTTCGTAAATATTTACGAAAGTTTCACTTTTCAAAGATTCCTGGAATGTTTTCGTCTCGTTAACAAAATCTGTTAATGATCATTGGAAATGTGTCTTTTAACGTGTCGTTAGAATGTTGTAACATGGTAGCGTTGCATTTCTGAATAATCGAAAGTTATCAACTAGCATAGCAAACCGTATCATCCGACAGATGATATTTTCAGGTTTCTGCGAAAAATATTTCTGGACTATAATTCAAATGATTGTCACAGAACGAATATCACAGTCATCCTTATGTACTTGCATACATATGCGCAGATACACAATCGTAGACCTTAAAGAATGGATCTGCGAGATGCAATAACAATCTTTGCCTACTCTCTCCTTTTCTTTATATTTTATATTTCTCTTTAATATATTTACATTCGTATCGTTGTAAAATAAGCAGTTTGCTTTTAATCTCACAGTCGCTATCTTGCCTCGCGATATTTTTATATCGCCAAGAATGAAATTTGTGGAAATTATTATAAATAAACGATTAAAATAAACAGAAAGTGATATAAAATATAAAATAGAAATAACTCGTGTTTGAATGGTTGAAACATCTTGGGTATATCCGTTAGCTTGAATTCCACATTTCTTACACTCGCAATAAGACGAGAATGCATACCTTGAAAAAAAAAAGCAGTTTCTTACGGTATGCTACGCCATTCTTCAGTGTCTAAGCAACGAGCTTTCGTCGCATCGTGGATGCATTCTTGCGCTACTACTGGATCTCCCAAGCATATTCCTCTCCAAATATGCTCAATAGGATTCATATCCGGTGACAAAAGACGTGCTATTTTTTCGTAACGTCGTACGTATGTACTCTTTTTTCACGCATCTTGTGAAAACTTGAGATGCTGCGTATCGTACGAATATCCCTAACATGTGTCATGTTGCATCGTATTTTGTATCTTTCAAGGCTTGATCAAGCGCTTGTAATAATCACTCTAGAAAAAATTTAATGTTAGTGGGATCGTTATTATATGTTTCATAGAAAACTGTCAATATACAATATGCGATAGGTTTTATTGCATTCAAATTCGAATGTGCGTATTTAAGCCTATATTGCCTTAACGATAGACAATTTTATACGAAACTGCCTAAGTAAGCTGTAAGTAATATAATTAACAATTCTTCAAAACGTTTCATGTTTTATACTAACGATCATTTATCTGAGATGTCCACTGTATAACTTTCCATATCGATCGGCACGATTTTCATCGTAATGGTATACGAGATATTTTCCTCTTTTCAGAGAATTGCTCGCAACGCGCGCAACTACTTTCGCCGGTGGCTGTAGCAGATTTTTCCAAAGAGAGAAAGAGAGAGAAAGAAAGAGAGAGAATTGGTAGCAGAGAAATCAAATGAGTCGTAGAGGAAGGCGATTAAATTTTTGCGTGTTCGTGGTCGCGCAAGAGTCTATAGCTGGTGCCACTTGAGTTTTGGTTTTGGCAGCGCTTCCAAGAGTGTTTCCCCCTTGTATTTGCAATCGAGGCAGGTTACAGCCTGACCCGAATCTTTAAGCTAGACCACGGTCACGGGATGCCCCCGACTAGCAAGCACGTAGTAACCTACACGCCAGGCTGTGCCAGGAGCGTCTTCCTACCTCTCTCTTTATTTCTTTCTTTTCTTTGGCTCTTCCCTGAAACTTTTCCCCTAGCCGTTCCCTTCCCCTTTCGTTTAGGTTTTACAGGGATACGCTCGATATGGGATCATAGGGATCCGATATTATACGAGTCGAAACAATATTTGTTATCTGCATCGCTGGGGAATGTGGAAGCAAAGATTCCACGGCTGAAACTTTCATAAAAACGGAAATTTTCTTTTTAATTTCTTTCTTTTAACAATGAAGGGGGTACGCAGTATGCGCGAAGTATCTGAGAAGATCGTATTTTATCGTATACACTACGGCACTACGGTACTACGGTAGAAATGTTTAATGAAAAAGAGAGAGAGAGAGAGAGAGAGAGAGGAGAGAAACAGAGGAAGCAGAAGGGAGGCAGAGAAGAAAGCATCTAGTTGGCTCGATAACAGAATTTGCGCGGCGCGGTTTTCTTCTTTTTCTGTCTTAATAAATTCTGGTGTAACGCCTGGAGGAGTTCCTTAGTATTCCGGACGCATTTCGAACGCGATGTTGGTAAAGAGTCGCACTTGTTGGCGTCCAGGGACACGAGGATGTTGGACGTGGGACACGGAATAGTCGGCGGAGTCGGCAGAGACTCCGGGGGGTAGTAGCAGGGTGAGGATCGCACTCGGAGGGACACTGGAAAGCGAAGCGAGTGCGCAGTGGTCAGTTCGGACGGTCCCCCGGGAGATTTCTGGACCGCAGTCCTAAATCAGGTTTCATTCCCTCGGCGAGTCTCCGGCGCCTCAACCCCTTCGCTTCGTCGAACCTGGTTGCGATATACCGAACAAAGCGAATCAACAGCACGTTACAGTTTCTTTTTTCTGCGCCCGGCAATTTTCTCCTACGTGCCGGATAGCATCGAGCGCGTACCCGAAAAATAACCTGAAATGAGAAAATACTCTAACATCATGAGATAGCAGAGACGCGCTGGTAAATTCGTGCCGTTCCAGTTCAATTTTTCGAAATCGACCCGAGAAGATTGTCGTTGGAGCAAACCGGCGTCTGTCGAAGTATCATATCGCGTGTGAACGTGCTAAGTCGAAGGTAACGAGTCGACGATAGGGGAAGCAGGCCGAAGGGGACGATCGTTCGACCGAGAGATCTGCACTAGGCACATGCATTATCGTAAACGATATCGCCCTCGGCCAGACGCGAGTTACACACACTTACACACCCCTTGCACTCGCTTCCGAGTGTGCGTGTATATGCGTGTGTGTACAAGGTGAGACAACCACATGTAAGTACGTACGGCATGTGGTTAGAGAAACAGAGAGAAACAGAGAGAGAGAGAGAGAGAGAGAGAAGGGGAACGAAAAAGAAAGAAAAAGGGAATATACGAAAGGAGTTTTGTCATTTAGACCTGTGCAAACAACCTTCGAGTCTTATCTGTGACCTCGAGAATGAGTATAGATCTTTTACATTCCACGTAATTCTAACAGTACCTCGCAATGTAACTTGCCTTTATTGTTACTTCCATAGTTTTCAATGTCCAATTTCCATTTCACGTTTTACGCGTATTTAAATATACACGTGTTGCATGATCTGATTTGCCAATGGCGATGCTCGTACTTCGTTTGTTGTGATATTGCCAAGTAACCACTATGTTTAATGAAACGCTACCAAATAAGAAATAAAAAATATATCAAAGATGCTCTCTACTTTTTCGAAAAGAAGTAGTCGTAAATTTTTAAGTCAGAGCCACTCTGAAGCCACTTAAAACAATTGAATTTTTTAAATAAATTAATCCCCGATTTCGTACTTATAAAGATTTTCATGAAAATAGTAGATATTGTGATATTTTCTAATTAAGCGACTCCAATGTTTACTTATACTGGAATCAACGTCTTTTATAAATCTAAACAAATCTACGTCGCATTTGCTCCTCCGATTGGCCTGTAGATGAATATTTTAACACGAAAGTTTGTTCCATTATGGCCGGAACATTACAAAAGAAGATATTCACCGCTTTCTCCCTATCGTGCCAGTGTATGCAATGCAACAGCGAGTTATACCGTTACCGCCCATAAACATAGATCAAGCTCAACAATGAACCACCGGTAAACGTATTGACATTTTATACTTCCCACCAGCGCTGACTGGTTGCCTCGACGATCGCTAGAGCGTTACTCAAACTGCAATACCACCAACAAACTGCAGGACGATTTCTCCGCGATTCTCTGCACAACGAAATGCTAATAGACGTAAACAGATATCGGAGGAATGTTTATGAATTGTTAGGATCGAAGAAATCGGCTGGAAAACGGCAATTTGATTGCCTTCCTCCGAGAAAAAAATTGTTTTCCTTTCCGCGGAAGTGTTGTGGTAATGTGATAATGTTAAGAAAATCGCTTCCGCAACGTGAAAATTGAGCGATCGATGTACAAACGACTCATTTCATCGTCTACTTCAACATTTTGTTGTTTAATCGTTGTATATAGTCGACGAATAAATAATGAAATTCATTGGATCGAAGGAAGAAGGAGTCTGGGACTAGGAGGTTGTTAACCTGATTCTAAAGCGTATGGCTGATATTGGGTTAATACGGTGAAAGTCCTCGGAGAGAACTCCCTTCTGAATTGTGTTACCGGAACAGCGACGTCTGAACGTAACGCCTCGTTCCACTTAGCTGGGTGCGTAACCACGGCAAGTAGATACGGTCGATGTATAGCCAGACGTGACGTGTCGTTCAAATGCATTGCGCCTTTATTATTTTCTTCCATTCGTACATTTTATGTAAACAGCATTGTAAACACGTTTTCATGATAAATACAGATGTATGTATATAATTTATTTTGCAATAAGCAAAGACGTGATATTAGTATCTAATTTTTTATTACATAAATATTCTCACGTTATTCATTTAAGTCACAGCTATTACGCGAATCTTGAGATTTTTGGTTCTTCGATTTCCAATTATTTTACGAATATATAATATGTTGCGCGCTTTACGTTCGAACGATTGCAAATCATTTTATAAATTTAACCGTCATATTACGTTCATTTATCTGTAAGATACTTCGGTACGTTTTAGTACCAATGAGAAAACTTACGTGTTTATCGCAGTCACGTACACCGGTTAATTTATATCTGGTTTCAGCTTTATTTCACTGGTAACCTTAATTTCAAAGCAACTAGATTATCCAGCGTTATCAAAA